AAACAAATTAATCTACTGCAGGTGTGTTGCTATCCTCTTCCTACTCCAATTGCAAAAAATATAAAAGGATCTGGCAACAATTTTCATGGTTGAACTTTGTTCGTTTTGGGCAGCATCACATTCTTTGAGTTAAATTGATACAACAATAATTGTTACTATTCCAGGTGATGATCCTGCGATCCACCTGCTAAAGTGTGTTATGGAAGAAGAAGCGAAAAGGAGTGTGCGTGCCAAAGTAAGTTTAACAAAGTTCGTTTTTATTTCTTAGAATTTTGAAAATTATTTGTGTTTGGTCTTTGACACTCTAAGTTACAAGTTTAAACATATAATTAATATTATCCAGTAATTAAAGTTAAGCTTTTTTCTATTTCTGCCATTTGTGTTTTCTTGCATTTGCTAGGTAGAGGAAATGTGGCAAGCCATCAAGACTAATGTACTGAAGCCTCAAAAACGAAAAATTCAGGATTTAGAGAGAGAAGTGCAAGGCCTTAGGCCCCTGAAGATGAAAGCTGACGAACTTGAGCAAGAACTAAAAAATCTAATCAACGGCAATGAGGCAAATTACACCAAGTATTCTGAGGAGATTGAAAAGCTACAATGTAAAGTTTTGGAGTTAGAGAAGAGGACCTTAACTGAGGTTATGAAATAATTTGAGTCCAGAAGAATCCGTTTAGAAAAATGTACTTGAAAATTGATTATTCTCAATGAAATTTTGTATCTTCTTCAGGTCCTGGATTCTGATGATGATGTTGATGAAGAAGAAGATGACAATGTTGAGGGCAGTAGTGACTTACTGCAAAATGCGCAAGAAACCTACTCTGATTTGGAGGTAAAAAAATAGTTATAGAAATCTATTTGAGTGTTTCCTTTTTGCTTCAGTATGATTTAAACATATGAGTGGCGTTAATTTGTGTATGTGTTATTTCAGGTTGACTTGTGGGGAAAGAAATCTGGTGGTTCACTGGAAGAGTCTGGTGAACATAAGGTAATGCTTCCTTCTGTTTTATTATAATTTATCCCAAATCACAATATGTGAGTACTCAAATTCCTTTACTAAACAAATACAATTTTTTCCAGGATTCACTAAAATCTAAGAAAGCTAAGGCAACCAATGTCACCCAAAAAAATGCCAATAGCACCTCAAAAAAAAAGACTACGAATAGAGGAAGGCCATTAGGGAGTACAAATAAGACAACCCCCAAAGAAAAGCTGGCTGAAGAAAATAAAGCTCTACAAAAGAAAATTAAGGAGCTAGAAAGTAAGGTGAAACCTAAGAATGCAAAGAAGTAGCAGAGCATTTTTTCCCTCTCAAATGTCTTCTCATTAATTTTACATTCAATCAGAATTTTCATATGTACTTTTTTTTTGAAGTTGTGAATTTTTATACACCT